ATCTATTAAATGACTTCCCAAAACACCTGTCTTTGAATTCAGTAGGTCCCAATGCAGTCTGACCCCTTAGCAGGCACAGGCGTCCATTCTGCCCCATCAGGGTTTGCTCCTGGTAGTGCAGCCTCCAGCTCCACTCTTGCTGGTGATACCACGTGACTACATGAGGAGGTCTCCACAGGCCCAGCCTTTCCGAGTGTTCATCTGGACCTCTTGGCCCCTCTGCCGGGGGCTGGGAACCAAGACACCTCAGATGTGTCCCCAACACACCATGCTCCACCCCTCAGGAAGTCTCTGCATAGGACAGGCTCTGGATCACATCCACAGTCCGAGTCAGCACTCCCAAGCCTCCCCTGCATCAGAAAGCTTGTTCAGTGCCCACTGCGGGTTGCTGCTCTCAGTTGTCAAGAGTGCATGGGAGGAGGGCATAGGAATGTGCAATTTTAAAGCTTCCCAAGGGCACTGAGAGAACAGGTTAGGCTTTTACACTGGAGACAGTAGGCCAGGGCTTCTGTGCTTGGCCAAGCCTTGTCTCTTCCCAGGAAAACCTTGAGTCTGGCCTCTCAGGGCTAGTCAGATAGCTCAGCAGATTAAAGCACTTGCTTAGGCAGACACAGGAGTTGGGGGTTCAATCCCTGGAGTGCCATGCTGGCCCTGCCTCAGGGCACACAGAGAGATTAAGATTGGGTGTGGTGGCATGTGCCTGTAATCCCAGTGCTTGGGAGGCTGAAAAACAAGAAGGATCACAAGTCTGATCTGTGTAGTGAGATCCTATACTAAATACATTTAAAAAAAAAAAAAAAAAGCTGAGAAGTCTAGAAAGTCACTTTTTTTTTTTTTTTTCGAAGTTCCCTTGGAGAGTCTCAGCATTAATTAGAAGCCATGGGAATCCAATTCAGGGTGCCCCAAAACGGGGCCTTCAACATCCTAGAAAGCTCATCCCACAGCTCCAAGCCATGTCTATGGGAATCGTATGTCTGCACACAGGGCCTGGGCATCTGCATTTCCCCAAAGTGACAGTATCTGCGAAGAAAGCAGGCCTGCTGTCATGTAGATGCCCCACATTCTGGATGTCTGTTTTGGAGTGTCATTCGACCAGTTTCTTTATCCCTGTATTGTCAAAGGTAATTCTGCCTAGAAAGTTCTCCCTCCATACCTCTGAAAGACAGGAGAAACGGAGGATCAAAACATAAAACAGCTTGTCCCTAGTCATGGTTCCATCAGCAGCAGAAATGGCCCAGGCCTGAGTCTTCTTGGTCCTACCTGGTGCCCAGTACTCCCAATCCAACACATGCAGAGACTCTTAGTCACCTGAGGGTCCCCACGTGGCTGCCCTGCTGCAGCCTTCTCAGTGTCTGAAAAGGCTTCGATCTATAATGCAGTAGAACTACCTGGCTTAGCCCACACCACACATGTGCTTTTAGGCAGACTTTAGCCATGTATACAAACACCCCAACCTCCACAGTTCCTTGCAGAAAGTCAGAGACAAGAAGGACCAGTGTACAAACAGAACCCCACTTTATTAGCAGTTAGTTCGAGATTGTACATTAATGGAGGAAGGTTCCCACCTTCAACACAACCCAAAATGGCTGGTTCAAGAGCTCTTGGGGTGAGTGGGCAGCACCCCTTTCCAGCCTTCCCCGCCCACCAGGGAAGGAGCCTCGCTGCTTCCCTGTGCCCCCACCCTCACAGTCAGCCCTCTCCTCTCCCCAGGAAGCCACATGAATTTCATGCACAAGTTACAAAAGGAGCTCTTTTGCTGACAGGAAAAGCCACCTCAGCCCTAGAAAGCCCTCTCCACCCTCGCAACTTCTCTTCAGGGGAGCAGTGGGAGGGGCAGGTATGAACTTCCTAGGACAAGACTCAGCCACAGTCCCCTTCTCACCCCAGCACTGGCACCGCTGCATACAAACCTCATACCTGTCTCTCTGGGCCTCTGAGCCGTGAGGGCACCCAGTCCAGGGCGTGAAAGTGGGTACCCCCATCCTCACTTGCACTAGAGCAGAGCTGCTTCCTGCCGGATGCTTTCAAAATCCTGCTCTAGACTGGGCTGGCAGATTCTACAGGTGGGGAATCTGAGGCCTTGGAAGGAAGACTGTCATGTAGTCACCAAATGTACCCAAGGAGGACAAAAATTCACAGTTCCTGCCTCTGGTGCAGTGCTCTTTTCCCGACACCACAGCTGGGGAAGGCATTTCCCCATGTAGGCCCTTCCTGCCGCAAGCTGGAGGCCCAGCTCCACTCCAGTGCACGCAGACCACAGGCTTCAACAAAGTGGAAACTCCAGGACCACACACAGCGTGAGAGATGGGCAGCAGGTCCTGCACACCCAGGGCTGAAGAGGGCAACCAGGCTCCCCTAAGCCAGGGGCCCCTTCCATCAAACCCATGGCCTAGCTCGGCCAGGCCAGGCCCAGCCTCCCTATGTCCCCTCCTGTGGTGCCCACTATCCTTTCCTCCAGCCTCCCCTGAGCTCCTGCAGCTCCCACCTGGCCCCTCTGCTGGTCTGGCACTTCCTACAAGTGACAGTGGAGGTGCCACTCAGGCAGGAGGTAGCTGCCGAATTGGTGTGAATGGAAAATCGCCCTTTAGGATACAGGGATAAAGGAAATGGTCGGGCGACACCAGGCAAAAGCAGACATCTAGAAAGTGGGATTTCTACACGACAGAAGGCCTGCTGGCCTCACAGACATCAGTATTTGAAAATCAGGTGGGCAGAGAGAAGTTTTTAGTATTTGAAGAGATTGTTTTTAAACATACCACAAAATACAAAGTGTGCACCTTGGTTGACTCTTATTTTAAACCCACATGGGTTATGTGGGGAACAGCAGATGCTGCTCAGTAGTCCCTGTCATCTGTCCTAGCTGTGGCCCACCTCTCAGGGACACAGGCACAAGCATCTAAGGGTAAGTTTCAAGATGTCTGCAATTTACTTTTAAACTAGGTGAGAAAAACACATCCATACAGAGAAAAGTACAAATGGGACAAACATCCTGATAATTTTCAATCTAGCTGCTGGGCAGTGGGCATCTACAACTGAGTATTTGCTAAGATGTCTTTGGAACTGCTTTTCCCACCAACACAGTGGCTGGGGCCACTGATCCCTGCAGGTCCACCGGGAGTTGGCCTTGCCGGGAAGTGGCGGCCTCTCCTCAGCGGGACTTGGAAGCACTGGCTGCTCCAACATGGGCTCAGAAGACGCCCCACTTTAGATCAGACTCATCCTGAGTAACTGAGGCAGCCCCACCTAGGGGCAGAAAAGGGTAGAGGGGACACAGAATGGAGGTGGAGTCACCTACACAATTTAAGCCCTTTTTTCTCTCCTTTTTGGCCAAATACTGACAGAGAATCCATGGACAGGGAAGACTGACCGCACTGCCCTGCGCACTCTAGCTTCCTACGTGAGCCAGGGGTCTACATGATCATTAGCTGAGACCCCCAGGACAGTGGAACCTCATCTCCTCACCCCCATGCTGTGTCCAGGTCAGTGAGAAAAATGTATCAGTGGGAAGGAAGAGAGCAGCACTGACCTCTCTAACCTCTTCAGGTAGCAGGTCTGGTCCTGAGATCCCCAGAAGAGCTGGGCCCATATCTCAACTCTCTCCTTAGCTCTCTTCCCTGCCTGTACCCACCTGAGCCTGGGGAATAGGACTGAGGTGCTGCCAGCTCTCTGAGCTGTGTGTGGGAGCAGGTTCCAGCCCAGAGGGAAGACTTCCGGGTGGGGGCTGAGCCCCCTCACAGCAGACAGTCCCCACTGGCAGGCAGGAAGGGAGGGTCAGAGCTTGCACCAGAGTCCTGCTTCACTCTGGAAGTGGGGCTTTAGCTTGCAGCTGTCCTCATGAGCAACAGAGGACAGAAGTGGCCCTGTCCTCAGGCACTAAGTCCCCACACCCTGCCAGACCACTGGCCAGACCCAGGGGGAACCTGCACTTGCTGTACACTGCAACATGGGACGGCTGCACCAAGTATCCAGCCCAGTGGGGAACATGAGAAGAGGGAAAGAGTGGAGAACGCAAACGGGAGGGCCTCCCAAGGGGGCAAGAACCAAAGAAGCAAATGCACGTCTGGGAATGAGAAGGCTCAAAGGCACCTGGCTGGGAAGAGTGGTTTGTCCCTGTGTCCTGGAATGACCACAGCTGTGACTGAGGGAGGGACAGGAACCTGGCACAGAGTAGGGTCCCCCAGTGGGCTTAGAGGCAGTGTGGTATTGGAAGAAGAGCACTGGACTCAGAATCAGAGGCCCTGAGTTCAACTCTCAGCCCTGCTGACCCCTGCAAGTGACAGACCAAGCAAGCCCTCTCCCCTCCTGGACCTGCTTTGTAGACATCACCCAAAGTGCCAGAGTCTCTGGAACAAGACAGGCTCTCTAGAAAGTAATTCCCAGGTATCTAGTGGAAGCTGAATTGGCAGTTAAGCGGGGCTGGGAGGCACCCCAGGCTTAGACACTTCACATTGTTAAAAGGGAGGAGGAGCAAAACCCAAATAGAAACTTGTCAAGAGGTCCCTGCAAGGGCCTGGACACAGCTCTGTGGGTTCCAGGGGCACCCACACCCAGGGCAGCCCCAACCTAGCACCATGTGAGGGGAGAGAGACAGGCCAGCTGGACCAGCGCTCCCACCCAAGCCCCAGCTACTTCCTTTGGCCCAGATTCCCCCAAGACCACTGGGCCTCATGAAGCCAGACTTCCTGGAGAGCTGGTCTTCCCTATACGTGTCACTGCCTATTTCCCTGGGGTGGCCCCAGTAGTTGTGGCACTTGGGAGAGGGAACAGAGATCTCTCCCTGAATACTCCTATACTGTCTTCACGAGGCCCAAACACAGTAGACACGCATCCTCCTTCCCTCAGAGCTCATTCTCTAGCACTAAGATATGACACCCTTGATACTGGGGCTTACCACCA